ATCTACCACTCCTCCCAGTTTAGTGTCATCCGCAAACTTGCTGAGGATGCAAGCCACACCATCCTCCAGATCATTAATGAAAAAAAGATGGGAGTTTTTTTTCCCTGCACTTCCTGGGATCCCACTGTAGGAAGGCACCCATCTGCCCTGCTGTGAGAGGAGCCAGCTCTTTTAAAGAGAGCAAGAGAAGGCCTTTTTTGGTAGAGCCACTGTGCACAGCGAGAGGAATTATTCCAGAGGAAACTGGTTGGGAAAATCAGGCAGTGGAGCCCAAGCCAAACCCCAATGAGTTTCTGTTCTCCCCACCTGGAGGGAGTTAGACCATTTTCATTTGTTGAGAGGTTTAGAAAGGTATCCCCAAAAGAGCCATCTTTGGTTCAATGCTTTGCCTAGGGTGGCAGCCAGAACGAGGAAGTCAGCATCCCTAGTTCTGGTTAACTCATAGAGGACAAAAAGAAAAGGAGTACTAGTGGCACCTTAGAGACTAACAAATTTATTTGAGCATAAGCTTTCGTGAGCTACAGCTCACTTCATCGGATGCATTCAGTGGAAAATACAGTGAGGAGATTTATATACACAGAGAACATGAAACAATGGGTGTTATCATACACACTGTAAGGAGAGTGATCACTTAAGATGAGCTATAACCAGCAGGAGAGCGGGGGCTGGGGGGAGAAGAAAACCTTTTGTAGTGATAATCAAGGTGAGCCATTTCCAGCAGTTAACAGGAACGTCTGAGGAACAGTGGGGGGGGGGGGGGGGAATAAACATGGAGAAATAGTTTTACACTTTGTGTAATGACCCATCCACTCCCAGTCTCTATTCAAGCCTAAGTTAATTGTATCCAGTTTGCAAATTAATTCCAATTCAGCTGTCTTTCGTTGGAGTCTGTTTTTGAAGTCTTTTTGTTGTAATATTGCAACCTTTAGGCCTGTAATTGAGTGACCAGAGAGATGGAAGTGTTCTCCGACTGGTTTTTGAATGTTATAATTCTTGACGTCTGATTTGTGTCCATTTATTCTTTTACGTAGAGACTGTCCAGTTTGACCAATGTACATGGCAGAGGGGCATTGCTGGCACATGATGGCATATATCACATTGGCGGATGTGCAGGTGAACGAGCCTCTGATAGTGTGGCTGATGTGATTAGGCCCTGTGATGGTGTCCCCTGAATAGATCAGTGTCAGTGTGCAGGGCTGACAACCCAAGTTAGAGGGGCAGATTGCTGGATGGACGAGCCCTGATGAGGAATCTTCATACGTCTGGGTAGAGGCGACTGGAGGCCAACAACGAGGGCTCTGGGGTCAAGGCTGGAGGTAGTGAAACATCTTCCTAAGGCCAGATGGCTCTGGGTGAGATGGTGGAATGTTCACTGATGCCTAGCTTCCAAGGCCAGAAAGGATGACTGTGATCGTCTGGTCTGACCTCCTGTATAGCACAGGCCAGAGACCTGTCCCACAATAATTCCCAGAGTAGCTCTCTCAGAAGGACAGGCAATTTTGAGATATTGCTCGGACTGCAATCTGCCGTCATGGTGCCCATCGACAGGAAGCTGGCACGTCAGCGTAGGGAGTCCTGCTTCAGAAAATGAGATGTGGCCATCTGAGCATATACACGCAGCAGTGAAAACTTGGGTCAGTGATGCCCTGCTACCACTGAGCTCACACGTGATGCATTTTACAAGGATGCATCCTCCCTCCAGATCCCTTGCTGGGGGCCTGGCATTCCTAGGTCATGCTCCATAGACATGAGGTGAAGACCCCATTTAGCTCTAACAAGTGGTGCAGCCATGCAGTGTGCAGTTCCAGTGTACACTCACACCCTGCAGAGGTGGGTCTAAGTTACCCTGGGCTGTGATTAGTAGTTTGCTCTGGTTGAGGAGTATCTTGTCCACAAATGCTATGTGTTGTAGCAGCTCTAGGCATCAGTGCCTTTCTGGTACTGACATGAGACTAAGCACAAGAACAAAGAGACTGCTACCACCACAGTGGTCCTCGTTAATTACTTGACCACAGGTGAAAAAGAAGCTTGCCCTATGTTGCCCATCTCCCACCCATGTGCCCAGGATTTACTGCAGACTGACCTGTATCCTTAAGAATATGTTTGCTGAAGAAGGTCATGTTAACCAGGGCAGATGCATGGATCCCGGTGGCCACACTGCCTGGAGAAGGAGCACGGGCATAGCAGGAGGAAAGGAGGCAGCAATTGATCGAGATCAGGGGTGGGAAAACACTTTGGCCCAAGAGCCACACGTGGTATGGAAATTGTAGGGCGGGCCATGAATGCTCACTAAATTGGGGGTTGGGGTGCAGGAGGGGGTGAGGGCTCCAGCTGGGGTGCGAGCTCTGGAGTGGGGCTGGGGATGAGGGGTTGGGGGTGCAGGAGGGTGCTCCGGACTGGGAACGAGGGGTTCGCAGGGTGGTAAGGGGATCAGGGCTGGGGCAGGACGTTGGGGCATGGGAGGGGATTGGGGTGCAGGCTCCTGGCAGCACTTTCCTCAAGCAGCAGCATGTCCCCTCTCTGGCTTCTATGCAGAGGCACAGCCAGGTGGCTCTGCATGCTGCCCTGTCCGCAGGTGCCGCCCCTGCAGCTCCCATTGGCCATGGTTCCTGGCCATGGGAGCTGTGGGGGCAGTGCTTGGGGTGGCGGCAGTGTGCGGACCCCCTGGCTGCCCCCACGTGTAGGAGCCAGAGGCGGGACATGCCGCTGCTTCCGGGAGCTACACGGAGCCACGGCACATGTGGAGCAGGGCAAGCCCCTGACCCTGCTCCCCGGCTGGAGCACCAGAATGGAGCAAGCCCAGAGGGATGGATTAAAACAGAGCAAGCCTGGCAAGAGCTCGAGGGATGGATTAAAATGTCTGAAGGTCCGGATGCAACCCCTGGGTCTTAGTTTGCCCATCCCTGATCTAGATGGTAACAGCAGCGGCACCGGGAGGGAGGGCATGTATTACAATGGGCTGTTAAAGACATGGTGCACACACGCGTGGAATTCAGGCTAATCCAGAGATCGGGGTACAGCAAATAGCATCCTTAACTGCCCCCATCCTAAAGGCTGGAGTGTCCCTTTCCAGCTGTCTGGTGGTATCACGCAGGCGACACTGTTCTAGAAAAGGTGGCACTTGAAGAACTCCTGTGTCTAGGGCATAAAAGTTCCATCAGACCCGTAACGCCAGTGTCCTGGACTATCGAAGAAAGCTGCAGCTCTGGTGTCTTGCCCTCCTTGATGAGCTGTGAGATTGGCTGTGCCAAGGTGCGAGGGGTACAATGCTCAGCCTTAGCATGGAACACTTGCATGACAGGACTCGTCAGGGGAGCTAGTGCTGCTGGATTGACTTATTTTTCAGGGCATGTTCCTGGGAGCTGGGAGACCTGAGTTCTGTCTCTGCCACTGACCTGCTGTTTAATGCTGGGCAAGTCACTGCCTTGTGCCTCAGTTTCCCCATCTGTAACATGTGGGTAACAATGCTTTCCCACCTTTGGAAAGCACTTTGAATGCAGATTGAAATGTGGCTTTTATATATTTATTATGATTAATATTATTACAATGACCATGGGACAGAGCATAACAGAGAAGCAAAGGGCCGAAATGGTGCTGTTTACATTTCCCTGGTCAGCAGGGATGCTGGGACGAAGTGCCAAGAGCAGTGGGCGAGGAAGCTGAGAATGCGGAAGGTAAGGCACCTGCCGGCATGCTCCTTCTGCAGGGATGGGGATGCAGCTGTCAGACTAGCTCCGTTCATCCTAAGCACTAGGCACTAGGCTCAGGTTGTGCAGTTGGTTTTGCTGCCCTATCATTGTGCCTTGAGAGAGAAGTTTGATTAAAGGGACGATTCAGCATTGTGTAGACAACTGCTTAGATATAGGCCTGTATCCAACACCTGGTATCTATCATGCTGGCCTCATGCATGGCTTTGGCATACAGGCGGCGCATCCTTCATGCCAGATTGTTTAATATAAAGGCTGGAGGCTCATAAAGTTTCTCCTACCCATGATTTAATAGCTGATGAAGCCCCAGGAACTGTCTGCTGCTGAATCCTGGCAGGTTGAGTGTGCTGGCCCTTTGCAGAAGGCCTGGGAAAGCTTGTTATTTTGCTTCTGATAGAGGAGGTTCCCTGCTCTAAAAATGAGTTAATCTGAGTTGTGTTTTGTTCATGGGTCAGTCCAATGAAGGGGCTCAATTAGGGATTGCAATACTTTGTGAAGCCCCCTCCTGTGAGTGCTCGGAAACCCTGGGCAGCTGCCCCCTGGTGCCTCAGTAATGGTGAACGTGCTAGGAGGACACAGAGTGGCACCAGCAGTATGTGAGACAATGCACCCTAGGATGCACTGTTGCACAGACAACTGATTTGCCGGACCGGTTGCAAAGACTTGGCTGGAAGGTGGCATGCCCACAGAGAATCACAGCGTACTGTACCTGTTTCAGAAAGGCCAAGGTAGGCCTCTGGCAAAGGCCAAGCACAATTAGCTGCCATGGTTACTGCCTGTGGTAGGTGCTGTACAAACCTATATGGAGAGTCATTTGTGGCTCTGGAGAGATTACAGTCCACATGGGCAAAGGGCAAGCAGAGGCACAGAGAGGGGAAATGAGCTGCCCATGGTCTCCCGGCAGTAGAACCAGGAAGAGAATCTATATCTCCCGACTGCGAGGCCCGCATCATACCCACTGGATCATGCTTCCTCATGAGAAACTTAAGAGATCAGCCTGGCTTAATCAGCTTTTTTAAAAAGTTCCTATATGCCACCCTCACATGAGAAGGGGCCTTCATTTTGTTACTTATTAAGAAGTGCTGTAACAATGCATATAAAAACAAAAGGACAGTAACTTCATAGCTGGAAGTGTAATAGCAGGAAGTCTCATATGAGTGTGAAATGTTTACAGCTCTTGCCACGAACTACAAAGAAACTCAAAACCTTTGTAGATATATTGACAGCAAAACCACCTCCCAAAATGTGCACTTGCCATTTGATCATTGTTACATAAAACGGTCACACACAAAATGGTTGCCAAAACAATTACACTTTTATTCAAATAAACCTTTGTTCATGATGAGATGAATGTCCTAAGATTAACGCCAGTTACATGACACGTACCATGTGGAAATTACTCTTCAGTAAACATTTATCAAGAACAAATCTGAATACACAACATTGCTTCTCCGTATTCTTTTAGACCAGGAATTTCAGAAGCACCCAGCATGTCCTAACTGCTGCCACTGAAATCAATGGTAAAAGTCTCATCAATTCCACTGGGAACAGAATTAATCCAACAAGCTCTGCTTTTGAAAATCTCACCTTTAAACATTAAGAAAAAAAATTGAATCAAAAAAGTCAACATTGGCTTGCTCCATTTGTAGAGAGACAAGGTGGGTGAAGGACTATCTTTCATGGGACCAACTTCTGTGGGTGAATGAGACAAGCTCTCAAGTTGCCATGGTTTTTGGGTGTTCCACTTGAGAATATTCAGGAAGTGCTGAGCACCTGCCCTCTAAGAATCAGGATTCTCTAAGTGTGCCAAATAGACACCCAAAAGCCCCTTTTGAAACACTTGCCATGGTCCGAACAAACACATTTTGAAACAAGAAACCAAGTCTGACAGATGATACTTATTATATGTATGACTGGCACACCTAAGAGCTCTTCTCATGGACCAGGATTCCGTCATGAAGAACAAAAAGATGGTCTATGCCCCAAAGAGCTTACAATTAGAAGACAAGAGACAACAGATGGATACAGATCAATGGGGGAATACAAAGAAGCAATGGGACACAATTAGTCAGTCAGATTGGCAGTGGGCTCAGCACGCCAGCCCCTTCATCATCAGTTTCTGTTCATTTTAATGGGAATTGGGCATTCCAATCAGCTTGGAAAATCTCAAGCTATGTTTTCAATTCTAGTCTGATTTTCATATAGGAGGAGACCTTGTCCATGGAAGAGACTCCAGAAACCTGGAGAAATGCTTTATAAAGAAGAAGCCCTTAAACAGGGGTTAATATGTTAGAAACAATAAAAAGAAGATGGGCAACAGGGGACAGGAAGAGAATACAAGCCTGTCACGATAATAAAAGTTACAGGAGGCTATGTTTTTGCTTGCAGTAGTGAGAATGTAACAGCCGGTACGCCAGCAGTCAGGTCATCAGGTTTTGCAGCTGATTGTCTTTAAAGAACCCTCTTTTTGTTCTGAGTGCCTCTTAATTCCATTTGATCCAGGAGAGGCGGGTTGTCAGATCTACATTGAGCAGAAGGGGAACAAGAAAACCAAATACACTGATTTAAATACATTTCAGTAAGTGTTTAACAAGTCAACCATTCAGCCTCTCCAGGAAAGCAACTTCACTCATCCAACTCTTCCCACGCACAGCCATTCAGAAATACTAGTTAACTAAAAGCCTAACAAAGAGGAGATGCCAGTGAAACCCACTTGTGTTATTTTAACAACTGTTGGTTCACAAAAGCCAAAGGTAGAGGCGGCTGGGATCCAATGATAAGTGCTGTAGTGCGTACAAAAGAGAGAAGGGTGTTAAATGGCATATCATGATTTATTTTTCCAACCATTATCCTGCAGTTGGTGAAACTAATGGGGAAAGGTGAAAAGAGTTAATTAACATATAAGACTATTTTCCTTAAAGTAAGTGGCTGATTTCTCTCTGCAGTGTCTGTGCTTATGACATTTCTGCTCTCTAGGATGAAAAGGAAATATTTTGTTGCAATGATTTTTCCACAGCCACATTATGCTTTTCAAAAGCACCCCCATTTAAAAAAGAAATGTAGGCACTTAGGAAGCAAAATCCCACTGGCAGTCAAAAGAACTTAGGCTCCATAGGGACAGATTTTTAAGAAGTGTTTGAGTGCCTAAAGATGCAGATAGGCACCTATGTGATTTTCAGCAGCACCTCGGTGCCTAACTCCCATTGGCTCTGCCTAGATGCATTTGAAAATCTCAACTCTCTGCACCTTTAGCCACCTAAATATCTTTAAAAATCTGGCCTTACATGCCTAGGCAATTTCTGATAATGGTATTAGGCTCCTCAGTTACTTAGGCACACTGGAAAATTTGACCCCTGCACTGATTTCAGTGGAGTGACTCCAGATCTACGATGATGTAACTGAGAGCACATCTGCTCCAACATCCTTTGTACTAATTAAAACAGCAACAGAAAAAATTAACAATCATCCCTTTTAAACTGTAAAGGGTTCTAGTTCATGTAAATTATAAGTTAGATACAAAAGCACTTGCACTTTAAACGATTCTTGTATTTGAATACACTTTGGGTTGTAAATGCTCGTTCTTGGTAGTGAACTTGTCCTCAGACCCTTCTGAGTGACCTGGATTCAGGGAAATACTTTAGCATGTGCCTAATTTCAAGTCATCTTACTGATCTCACTGAGACTACTCGTGCTTAAAGATTGGTGCATGAATCAGGCCCAAAACAATATAATAAAAAAATCACTAAATACCCCAAATAAATGTATACAGACAATTTTTTATCCATGCTAAAACACGAGTTTTGTACAAAATTTTGAAAAGGACCAGCAATTTAAAAGGCTAACCAAAATATCTAACGAAATTTTTGAAAGGAGCCCTTCCTGTGAAATCAGAATGAATGACTAGGTTTATGATTTCTCAATAATTAAGGGAACAGATCTAATTGCAAAAATTATTTAAACAAAGTGGAGGATTTTGCATTGAAACATGCAAATCTCTTAAAATGATTTGTATGTAAACTGAACAGTTTGTAAATAAGGTTGCAGAGCTTGACTGAATGTTTTAAAAGAGGATTTTTTACGGATTCATGCCATTGCAACCAAAAATGGGATTGTAAAGGTCTGAAATAAAGACATCTGCTAATCAGAGCTGCACACTTACCGCTCGTGTTCCAGATTGCATTTTTGTGACTTTTATATCCATTTTTCATACATTGTTCCACATAGGATTTGGGATGGCAGCCCGAGATTAGGATATCATTCAGCAGCGCAATGTATGCGATGGCCAGCCTAAGCGTGTCGATTTTGGAGAGGCGCTTTTCATAGGGGAAAGTTGGTACATGGCATCTGAGTTCATCAAAAGCAGAGTTGATACTGAGCATCCTCTTTCTTTCCCTAATATTAGCTGCATATCTTTGTACCTTGTAAGGGGGAGCAGGAATTAGCCTGTGATGTTTATGCGGTTTATTAGCCTTTGGTTGAACCAACAAGGAGCTGTCCAGTTCAGCACTTCCCTCCAGCTGCAGAGCTTGTCCATCCAAATCTGTGAGTGAAATCTGAGCATCATCAGGGAACATGGACTGGCAAGTAAAAGAGGGCCAAGGGGAGAGTTGGCCTGTCAGAGAAGAACAGTCAGATAGGCCATTTTCTGGCTGAGGTTGGAGTTGGATATTAGAATCCATAGGGCCCCAGAATGGAAAATCCGATGTAGAATCTTGTTCAAAATCATAGAAAGGTTCCTCCATCATTTCCCCCCCAATAATATTTGAAACAATGGAATAGACGTAGTCAGGGATTAGTTTACACTCAGTGCTATAAGTACAAGGAGTAGATAGTCTAATTCTAAAAGGTTCTAGTTAACAAATAAAAACCATGGTCAGAGTATACTGCATCCGTCTCCTACCTAATACAGACACTAGTAAAGGGTGACTTTGGGTTGTGAGTCTGAGTGGATCTCATGATTTAAATACTTCTAGGCTTCTCAGCAGGCTAAACATCCCTATTCTTCTGAATTCAAAACTAATTAGAACACATGATTCTTGTTTTACTAGCTGTTGGCTACAAAGGGATATGAATGAATGTAACAAAAAGAACTGATCCCCTATTGACTTTCTCATTGAAAACCCATTGAAATAATTCTCAAGTTTTCCCCAAGTTCCGTCTCTCTCTCCACCTCATGTTTACAGAAGGGATTACGCAGTGCTGAGGAGGAGGTGCATAATGCAGCCCTTTATTTTCTTGGTAGACTGGGACTAGCCACATGTTCTGCTACAGACTGAAGGACACAATCCAATTATAATGCTGTCAGAAACATACGACTGTGCCCTCTTTGTTACAAGGAGACAGTTGGATCCCCTGTATTTTTAAGAGGGTAAAGACAGTTGGGTGAAGGCTTTGTGCAGAACGCCAGTGTTAAATGGGAACATGAACTTGCTTCATAATAAGTGTCTCAGCCGCTGCCACTTTATTTTGTTAAAGCGCTCTCTCTCTCATGCAACACATCCGAGATGTTATTCAGCTATTCACTGCTCGATCGCCAACTGTCTGACACTCAGAAAATAGAAACAAATGGAATAAACCATAATGGGCCCAATCCTAAAATGGGCTGAGCTGCTCTTTTACGTTAATGACCTCCCTCAACTCCCGCTGAGTCAATGGGCCACATCCTGAGAAGTTCTGGGGACAATGGGAGTTGCAGGTGCTCAGCACACCTCTGAGGAGTAGACCAACCGAAGCAGATGTGCTCAGCCCCTTTCAGGGTCAGGCTCTGTGGTTATTATTTTTCATTCATATTACTGTAACAGCTAGAGACCCGTGGTGGGGTATATACTCCACACTGGCACTGGAGGGGTTAACTGGAACTAGCGAGCTCAATTAAGGCACCTGGCTGCACCTGTGGGATGGGCCAGCCCCACATGAAGATGCAACCCAGATGGGGAGGAGCTGGGGGGTGAGCATAAAGGAGGGAAAGATGCTGCCGAGAGAGAGGGGAAGAGCTCTGCAGTTTCTCTCTGGTTGCTAGGGTGAAGGAAGGGCTTAGAGAGAGGCAGCTGTATCTTAAGACCAGGGAGGAGCTCTGGGAAAGCACTTTAAGGAAGGCCAAGGTAGGAGGAAGCCCCAGGAGACAGCAGTAAGGAGTTTGAGGGAGCAGACCTTAGCAGCTCACCACAGAGTTCCTGAACTGGAACCTAGAGCTGTGGGAAGTCCGGGGTTCCCCAGTGGCCATTTGGAACGGTGGTGCAGGAAGCCCCTTGACACAATGGGGAGAGGAACTATTGAATTTGGAGCCAGTCCTCCAGTCCTTGGAGGCCTCTCTCCGCACAAGAGCGGGAGGACAGCCCTGCAGAGCCGGAGAAGGGGTGAAAAGGTTGCAGAAGAGTTAGGTAGGTGCAGAGAGTTACGTTGCTGGGAGTTTAATTCCTTGTTTACCCCAGAAGGGGTGGGGCTAATTGTGACCTGAGTCATAAGACGAGGCGGATGACCATGAGGCCAGAGCAGATGTCGGCAGTGGCTACTCTACGAGGAAAGAGCTGCTACACCATGCCTAGCCACAAGGGGGCATGCTGGCAGTAAACTGACCCTTCGACCTGACCCCAACTGAGATCAGGCCGCCATTGTGCTAGTCACTGTGCCCTCACATGGTCAAACCGTCCCTGCCCCAACCAGCTTCGGATCTATACAGACAAAGGTTGGGAGTGAACGGAAACACTGAGAGGGGAAGTGACTTGCTCAAGGTCACAGCAGGTCAACAACACAGTCTGCACTGTTAAAATCTGTGGCCTTTAAAGTATCTTAATAGCCTTGGTTTCAGCATCTGTCAACAATGAATCAGAAATGTTGATGCAAGATTAAGCTGGAATGTGACTGCATTGCAAAAGGCCATGACCATTGTGCTGTGGGAGCAGGGGTGGGGGCTTGAGCAGTGTGAATGGTCTCTTATGATAAAGACCCGGCTCAGTCCCTCCATTTGAAAATGGTGCTTAAACCCCTAAATCCCCTAGGCAGGGTTGAAAATTTTACCCCCTGTACCTAAATATATACAGGATCTTCATTTTTAAATGAATGTTGTATTGTCATTATAACAAGATAAGATGGTTTAATTTGCTTTCTAGGGCTTTGATGGATCGCATTTAAATATATTTAGGTTAATTCACAGCACACACATTGGCTGGCTAGAGCACCAATTCAGCTCTTAAATACATGCTTAACTTTAGGTAGATAATTAAGTCTCTTTGATGGGAGTTAAACATATGCTTAAACTTATTCAGTAAATCACTTAAGCAATGGGACTTAAGCACGAGCTTTAAAGTTAAGCATTGGCTTAAATGCTTTCCTGAGTCAGTCTAGGAAAGGTATCTAGACCCCCAAAGCAGCACATGCTTATGTCCCATTGATGGATGAGGGCCATAGAGAGGGCTATTACAAGGCCTATCAAGAAGCAGAGCTTATGAATGATAGGTGTTAGGTGAGACTTAAATAATGCATAGACCCTTTGCATTTCACCCCGAGGGAGTTGGAAGGACCTGGCAGGATCAGGTCTGCTGTCTCTTAGTAACAAATTAGGACATAGTCACTTGTCTAAAACTTTCATCTGTAAAGAGGATTTAATTTTCAGCCTGCATATCCCCAGGACACAGCTGGTTAATCACTCTTCATACTGGTGTTGGATTGGCAGCACTCTCAGTGGCTGCAGTCCTGCGTGGTCACTGCAGTGCACAGTGCTGAAGACCCTGCGGCAAGAGACGAAGAGGTGGGAACGTGGCATTGTGTGAGCTAGCGGTAGCATCTTTTCGTTTGCAAATGAAAGGAGGAACTCTTGAGTTACCGAGAATAAAGCAGAAAAGGTTTCATTTCTGAAACCTGGTGGATAAATAGAAACGTGGTGTTCCCATGAACTCATAGCATTCATTATGGGTGAAACTAACTCTGTGCCAAGGGCCAGTACGAGACCTTTGTGCAACTTAAGCCCACTTAAGAAATGCACAAGCTTTATGCTGGTCTTATGCAAAGGAGTGAATTGCACCTCAACACAATTAAAGTGAAGAAAAGCCATGGGGATTATTAATGTTTGTATTATGGAAGCACCCAGACACCTCAAGATTGCCAAGCACTTTACACACACATAGTGGGAGACAGCCTCTGCCCCAAAGTGCCTACAATCTAATTAGACAAGGCAGACCCAGGACGGGAGGGGAGTACAGAGTAGGGCCATGACTTGCCCACGGTCACCCAGATGGTCAGTGGCAAAGCTAGGACTAAAACCAGTGATCTTGACTAGTGCTGGGGGGGAAATTTTCAGCCAAAACTTTTGTTTGGGCCAAAAATGCAGATTCAGGTGCAATGAACCATTTTGGGAACTCATGTCAATATAGGTGTCTTGGTTCAGTCAAAAGAAATCCTTTAACAAAACAGAAAAATGGTGGGGGGGGGGGTTTCAACTTTTCAATTTGCTAAAAATGTTTGAAAAATTTTGATCCCAAGTGACTTTTTTCCCCCTAATTTTTTGGAATGGCCAGTGAACTGAGAAGTCCACTATCCTGATTCCTCCACCAGTGCCCCAACTATTAGCCTCTGCTGCCATGAAGCAGCAACCTCTGAAATGCACATTCTCGGAGCACTGGGCTACTCCAGGTATTTCTAAGTCAGGGGTAATTTTTGACTTGGTATTTGATGTGTTTTATAGTAAATCCAGGCTCTGTAAATTCATTCTGTAGCAAGGTTCTCTGAAACCATGCCAGTGTATTTCTGAGTGTGATGAACATTCAAAGCAACATTCTCCAAGGGAGCATCCTGTCAGGGTCACTGGGGTATGCACTTAGGGGTGTGCATTGGGGAGCAGAGAAATGGAATCCCCAGCCCCTGTTAAGCAGTAATTAGCATTGCCACGGCAGGCTATGGGCAGGGGGAGTGGCTGTGGGAAACTTCCTTCACACTTATCTGTGAGCTCATGCCTACTGCCTGGTCCCAGCATGGACTCTGCCATGTGGAGCTCACTTCTGCAGAATATAGGTGTCACAGGATGACTGGTCCCTTTAAGAGGACCTAGGGCCAGCCCCATTTGTACCCTTATTAACTAGCTGCTTCCCAGCCTGATGGGGTGGGGCTAAGCAGGTCAGCTGATACATTAGTGGACACCTGGGGCTTGCAAAAGGGCTGAGAGAGAGAGAAGTGTGGGGGTGGAAACGCAGGGAGTAGTCAGGTTTCTGAAGAAGGCCCTGAGCCAGGGGCTGCAGGAGGCTGGGGACTCCAGGTCTCTACCAGAATAGGGAAAGACTGAAAGGGGCTGAGAACATAGCCTGGAGGGTAGGCTGAAGAGAAGCCCACGAACAAGAGAAGAACATTTTTTGTTCATTGGGGCTTGTTAGTTGGAGTTTTGTTACACCTGGAGGCGTTAAATTTGTGATGGGGCCAGCAGGCCAAGCCCAAGCCACATCATCAGCACTGACCTGTGTGCATGGGCTTTAAGAAGCCCTGAAGAAGAGGGAAAAGAGCCACTCTTTGCCATGATGGGGTGCTTGGGAGCTGGGCTACCCTGTTACAATAGGGAGCAGCAAAGCCCACCTGCCCTATCACTCCACATCTCAGCCCTCCACCCCCAAACCCAGACCTGCAACACTTCTGTTGCATTATTAGCCTGCCATGTGCAGCTCCCAACACTTTACTGTTAACGATGCATATGTAACCCACTGGTCCCCCTCTGTGTGTGTCCCCCTCTGTGTCTGATCCACAGAGGATATAGGTCTATTGCAGCTCCGGCTCTTCAGCTTAAGCTGCAGAGAGTCTGGCGCTTAGCTCTGTGAGTCCCCAGTTTAATCCTTGCTGCAGTGGCCAAGACTGCAGCCATCACATAAGTGGGAGCTCTGCCGGGATTCCAACCGCAGTGGGCCTCAGACGGTTGCAAGGAGCATCCTCTGTAGC